CTATTCGGTTCAGTGGTGAACAGTCATTTACATGGGCATAAAAATGGAAACTTTTTTTTGTTAATTTTAACTACATAAAAATCCTATGCTGAGAGAAAGTGTGGAATGATGATAGTGGAAAACAACAAAATGTTCATTTTTAAGCATCATGCCTAAAATTGATAAATCAAAATTGTAGCATAAGCATATTATATTGAAAGTAGAAGAAGAAACAGGTAAACAAGTTCAAGGCAGGTGATGGGAGAAGTGAAGAATATGCAAGGGTGAGAGGGTGAAGCAGGGATTACTGATTATAAATCATTTACATTATTGGAGTTTTAAATCTATATGTATGCGTTATTTTGAAGAAAATAACAAATAAAAAAAAAAGAATACAGAAGCAAAGAAAATACCAAAATATGCTGATCATAATTTAAAAACATAATTGTAAATGTTATGTCTTTCCCAGATGTGATATGATGATTGGTACTCTACCTACAGCTCTAAGAAAACAATTAGGTTGATCGGATATATATATTATTAGCTTCATTGTTGACACAAGTTAACAAACACAAAAGTCAACGTGATGGGCACATTTACATACACCTAATGAGTTTAAGGTTAATTGCAAAGGCAGAGAATTTTATTGTAAAACCTATAGAAATGTAGAATCTAGTCATGTTTATGTATAACTCCATGCGGATACTGGTTGCAGCGTTCTGGCAATATTTGCAATTTTTTTTTTAATTTACTATTTTAACCATTTTTTATTTTTTATTTATTTATTTATTTATTTATTTATTTATTTATTATTTTTTTTTTTTTAAAGATTTTATTTATTTACTTGACAGAGACAGAGATAGTGAGAGCAGGAACACAAGCAGCGGGAGTGGGAGAGGGAGAAGCAGGTTTCCCCCCTGAGGAGGGAGCCCGAGGGGACTCGATCCCAGGACCCTGGGATCATGACCTGAGCCGAAGGCAGACGCTTAACGACTGAGCCACCCAGGCACCCTTAACCATTTTTTAAAGTTTATTTATTTATAATCTCCACCCAACATGGGGCTTGTACTCACGACCCTGAGAACAAGAGTCACATGCTCTACCAAGTGAGCCAGCCAGGTGCCCCAGTATTTGCAATTTGAATTACAAAAATCTGCTCCATCTTATGGGGATACCTAAAAATGTGGATTAATAACTACATGGATTGTAGACCTGAATTTCCTACTTAAGACTCTTGTGATGTAAGCAAGTTGATAATATTTTGTATTAGCCAACGGTGCAGCATTCAGAATCTACAAGAGGAAGAGATGAAGAAGCATTAGAGAAGAAAGACGGAAATCTGATAAGACAGAAAGATTAAGAACAGATGGCCATTGGTATATAGGAAGATTGCACCTTGATTGTCCTATGTCACCGTGATACTGCATAGTAAAGAAATTACTGTTGTGCCACTAAGCAAGGGGGTGCTAGGCAATCCCCCGCTAGAAAGAGTTTTCAAAAGACTGTGGATTCCAGAATAGTTACCTCCATGGAGAGGAATAGAGTTAAATGACAATTACCAGACATGGAGTTTCAATCCTGATTTAGTGCTGGTTTTCTGAAATAGAAAATTAAAGCGTCTCACAGACATTTTAAGTTATAAAGAACTACCTGATGATATATTATGACATTCCTCTTATTCCCATTAACTGACAGATTTTGGAACACATTCATGGGGTTTGAGCAGTGATTAAATTTATTATAGGCATTATTGAAACACAGCGGAGTAATGTATACAACTTCTGTGAACAACAGAAAGTTTAGGCTATTTATAGAAGAAGAATACAGGGGTTTAAAGTTGTAGCTTTGAAATTAACTCCCCAGTACGTACTTAGTAATGAATAACTTGGGAAAAAGAAAGATGGCTTAACTTTGTAAATGTGCAACTAAATGTTATGAAAGTAAATTTTAAAGAATTAAACAAAAAAGATGTTTTAAAATATTTATTCAATATTCTCATTAATAGTGTAAATGAATCATGTGATATTGCTATTCTCTACAGTTGGATGTAACTACTGTGTTTGCAGGTTTCAATAAAAGTCTACTTCATATTTCTACACACATATATGTGGGTGACAAAGATAACTTTGCTTGTTGTAAATAAGTCAATACACAGGGATGTACAAAAAGCAAGTATTCTCTCTCACTGCATTCAGTACCACCACGTCAGTAATCTCGGCATATGGTGCGTGCCGATCAACTCATACATAGTGCACTTCTACAACAGTGTTTTTTTTTTTTCTCAGAAGTGAGAAAACACACTTTATAATTTTTAGTTAATATTGTGGATATCTCTTCTGATCCATACTTTTAGGTCACTTGAATAGCTCTGTAATATGGATGTGTCATGATTTTTGGACCATTCCCCTATTGCTGGACATTCGTAGTATTTGCAGTTGTTTACTATTATAATGTTAAAATTAACTTCCTTTTCATATACCTTTACATATGGATTATTTTGTTCCATAGGATATATTCATAAAAGTAGAATTTGCTTGATTAAAAAGGATACCTAAAATTATTATTATTGAATAGGTACTATATGAGCAACATAAGAAAAAATTCAGAGAGGAAAAATGAATATAAAAACAATGTCCTCCATTACACATTGATTCATTTGATGATTAAAAAGAAAAGTTTGGAGAATCTGTCATCTAATATATATACCAGCCCAGGCAGGGCATTGGATTAACTAATTCCACTGATTATCGATATCCAATATTCAACGGACCTCTTAATTTACCATGCACATTGCATTACAATGTGTGGCAGGTTTGTATTTTACTGGTCTTTAAATTGGTCAATTCCATTGCTTAATAGATTTTAATCTGAAAATATGTATTTTGTGGATTACAAAAATTGCCAGATTTTCAAAGGATATGCAGACCATTTAGTACACAAATTTTCAGTTTTTACTGCTCTTCTTGTACAAAATAAGACTTTGAGAATCAAAACAAAACCAGTGATGACAGTTTGGCTAACTAGTCTTATGACAAATGCTTAAAGGAGCTGCTTAGAAAAGACAACAATATGTCCCCTCCGCCCCATCACAGTGTTATGACAATGAATTATGATACTGTATTATCACTAGAATGTATGCTGCTTGAAGGCATAAATTTATTTTCTCTGATGTGTCCCCAGTAGCTAGGGTAGTATTAGGTATAGGATAGGGACTCAATAAATACTAGTTGATTGCGTATTATTCAAATTTAACCAAGAACTTGAGGACATAGGCTTTTAAATGATCTGATTCCAACATTTAAACGAGAGAGGGGGGCGCCTGGGTGGCTCAGTTGGTTAAGCGACTGCCTTCGGCTCAGGTCATGGTCCTGGAGTCCCGGGATCGAGTCCCGCATCGGGCTCCCTGCTCGGCGGGGAGTCTGCTTCTCCCTCTGACCCTCCTCCCTCTCATGCTCTCTGTCTCTCATTCTCTCTGTCTCAAATAAATAAATAAAATCTTTAAAAAAAAAATAAAAAAAATAAAAAAATAAATGAGAGAGGTAAGAGACATTGACTGTATGCATATAGTATGCATATAAAACAATTGAAATCAAGTAACATACTGAGAGGTAGTCAGATGGAAATCATGCCCTACATTATCAAATGCATCAGATCACAAGTAGTCCTATTCTACCACCTAGTTTTAGCTTTCACAGGGCTAGGTTAGTTACTCTGATCCCAGGAGCATCTTTGCGTGATGACATACTTTATTACAGGTACATAATACAACTCGACTTATACATAGAAAAAAATACAGGAACTGTCATGAGACCCAGAGGCACATATATTCAATTGGTTTACATTTGATAAAAGTTTTGATAAGATTCTTTAGGAAAAGTGAAGACAGATCTTTCATGGTTTGTTGATATTAAACTGGAAGCAGAAGTATTGACTGATTTTTTAAGGTCCTTTCTACCATTTTGATCCCAGGAAATATACTTTATAAACTATTTTTTGTCAGACAGAAGTGAATAGGAGAAACATATGCCCTCAAAACTATGTGAAACTACTAAAAGGCAAGACAATTTTCAACTTTTTTGCATTTTTTTTTTACCCCCAGTGGTAAGAATATAGCAAATCTTTGAAAAACCCAATAAAACATATGAAGTGCAAATTAGGCCCTTGTCTTTCATAAATATTTCTAGAAGTAGAAAATTAAAATGTTTCCAATTAAAAGTGCTTGTTAGGTTAATTTAACTATTACCTATGTAATTTTTAAGGAAAAGAGCTATTTGTAGCCATGATGTGTATCTGATTTGACAAAATATATGCTTTTTACATTGGCCATAAGGGCTAATAATCCTATAGAGATATAAGTAGGAGAAAAATAAAACTCTAATTAGTAAAATTCTGTTGCTATTTTGGAACTACAAAATATGTTACTTAAAAAAATAAAATACAGGGTGCTTGGCTGGCTCAGTTGGTAGAGCATGTGACTCTTGATCTTGGGATCATGAGTTTGAGCCTCACGTTGGGTGCAGAGATTACTTAAAATAAATAAATAATTAAAAAATATATAGATGTTACTGACTCACAAAATGCTTTCAAAACTTCTGAAACAATTTCTTTTTGAAATTTATTTCTAAAAGTCACAGAGACAAAACTTTAAACGTGACACATTTTTACTAAGGATACATGCGTGAGCAAAAAAAAAGTAAGCACGGGAATACAAAAATAAACATAGTAAAATTTTAATGAATACAGTATTGTGGATACAAGTAGAATACCACTAGGTAAGAATTGTATTTACCTTAGAAGTCTAGGGTAGTATGGATTGAGATAAATGGTTTAGGACAGCCACTTCACTATTCACAAGTTAATCAGTGCTGACCAGAAACTAAAGCAATTTATATTTTAGGTTAAGATTTTCAGTGAAATTATAGGATGAATCTTCTATTTAATGAATATGTTTTAAGGTGATCTGGCAGCTGGGGCAAGTCAAACCACAGAGAGCCCTCACAAAGACTAAGCACCAAATGACAAAATGTTTGTGGCTTTCGTTTTGGGCCACTTTAAATTTTATTTTGTTTAAATGTGTTTTCCATTAACATTCACATACAAATTCTTTCAGGCAAAAGTTTTAACATGGAACTTTCTGCTTGGAGATCTTGCCAACTGTTACTTACAATAGTTTTTAAGCAATGAATACTTCAGAACAATCCCAAGCGGATACTTAATTGGTTACAATTGTAAGATGCAGAGCTTTTTCTTCAAAGTTTTCTGGTCCCCCAAAATTCAGTAGGGCCAAATGCATTAACTGGAAGTAGCATTTGTTTAAAAAAAAAAACGATGATAATGAGTAAAATAACTATTTAGGCTCTCATACACAATCTTTCTAAATTTTCACCCTGTAAGAAATGATTACAATGTCCTTCAGGTTTGCTATATGCCCCACAGAATAAAACAAAACAAAACAAAACAAGGAATTTAACATTTCAACAAGCTAGTAACTATTTACTGTAAGCATATAGTGAAGTTCTGGAAGACATACCACCATACTTCAAGAAAACACTATTAACAGGTAAGCATGTGTTGAAGAAGGCAGTTTATAAATGAAACATTACAAATCTTATGTTTATGCATACAACTTATAAAATAGAAAAAACTGCTATTTTTCCAATAGTATAGCATCACACTAACACTATATAGTTAAGATCGAAAGCTTCTGTACACACGTCCACTACACCTCCACAGCAGCATACGCCTTAGACATTTTCATTTGTTATCCAACATATGCCAACCATGGTTTCACGGATTTGTACCAGTTTGAGCAGGCTAAAACAATCATTCTGCCTTATCAATTGACTATGAGACAAAGTTAACCAGTTTCAGGGAACAAAAAGTTTCATAATCAGTAAACAAACATATTAAACCTCCACACAGGATGGAAAATGCTTCTAAGGACATGATATAATCCTAACAGGAGGATGGATTATGCCCCTAGATAAAGTGTATGTGGGAATAGTTAGGAGCCTGGAGAAATACATTAAGACATATGGGACCTAAATGATCATCAAATCAGTAATAAGTACTAGAAACACAAATGTCAATTATTGACTTTTCTTGTGCAACATCATCCAGTTTACTGCTTAGGGCTACTCAAAGCTGTTCTGCCACTACATGTTTGCTGTTAGTGCAAATTAATATTGAAATAGGGAGCAGTCTGAATCACATGGAATTTTGAAAAATTAGAATGATTGTATATCTAACCTTATTTTTGTATTCTGAAAATGCTATAAAACTCAATTATTTTCCTAGCTTCTTAGATCTTCTACCATCTTAGATAATTCAAATTAAACATGGTTGCCTGCAGATTCTTTACTAGGGGAAGTAAAAGCAAAGTACATTTTGGTTTTGCTGCTGTTCTCATGTATGTGCTTTAGCAATGACAGCACTACTCCAGGCATTTATTGTACTAGTTTACATAACTAAACATGAGAAAAACTCATAGTTCAAATTTTAACAAGAAATTTTTTTTTTTTGGTGGCAGGCTTATTTTAAAATGAAAACAAAACAAAAACCCACTTAAAATCTAAAAATCAGATGGGCATTTTAACAACCTGAACTAGGAACTTAAGTCTATGAAAGAAACTTAGACATGGGAAGCTGTTTCTGAAAAATAGAACCTTTTCTTATTCACTTTGGCTTTTTTTTTTTTTTTAATGAAGATTTGTGGTAAAATGACCTCAAAGAAAATTCCAAGTCACATAGGGCATTCATGTCAGTGCTTTGTAATAGAAATATATTTTATAAGTATTTTAAACTTGAATGTTTTCAAGGAATTTAAGATTCTTTTTTAAAGCTCTAGTCCAAGTCTTCAGCTGTTCAGTTTTTAAAAAATATAATTTGGGTCTCCAATGGAGAGGACATAACTGGGCTAAGCTACTTCGATGACATTACAGGATAGTGAGGTTCACATAGAGATCATTTCCTGAACATGGTTGACCTTTAACAGAACTGATTATTTCCTCACCCAAACAGTTATGCAGGATACTGCCACATCTCCACTACAAAAATCTTGCCAGTCTTTCTAGACAATTGTTTACCATCCATGTTTAAAAACCTTGTACCACCAGAGGCAAAGCACATAAAAGTGAAAATAAGTAAACTTGTTTCTAGTCTATTTACCTAAAGTCTTACAAATCATATGGAAAAATTAATGTATATAATTTCCTTATTATCTGATCTGTCAGCCAAAAACTAATTACTAGTTTTCTGTAAAAACAGGAAACTCAATCATAAAACGTGTTTAAATTAAAATGCCAATCTTGAAATCTTTTAACATCAAGACATTAAAAAAAAAAAAAAAAAGCTTGCAAATTCAAGGGGATGCTGGAAATGAAAGTTATGGTTCAAAAATTTGTTTATAGTAAGAGACTAAAATCATGTCACTGCAAAATTCCCCATGGCTTTTGGCACTGACACTGAAAGATTTTAGTCTTTTGGTCACTTGAAGCTGCTACTAAATACATTAAGCCTTTTTAAAAAGGGTGAAAAAAGTGAGGAACTGAATGATAGATAAGGTAACTACATCATATACACGCATAGTTTGAAATAAAGACAGTCATTTCTTTGAGGGATCTGAAGATATAAGAACAATTTCCCACCATCCCTTCCTTTTTGAAGAGGATCCTCTAATCAGAAATAATTCCTTTAAGTTACTGTGAGTGGTGTTGCCTGGCAGCAGCTTCAATTTCCTAGGCTAGTGTTCAATCCAAGTAATTAAGTAATCTCACAAGGAATAATCATATATGGCAACAGGGTAAAAAAGCAGGGCAGTTCTTCCATGCACAAACATTTCAGGAGAAAAACCATCAATTTTAAAGATAACCATCAGGTTTCAGGTATCCTAGCATACTCTAAACCCTAAGTTTTGCTTTACACCATTGGTGACTAAAATTAACAAGTTTTGCAGTGAGGTTTTTTTGTTTGTTTGTTTGTTTGTTTTGCCTGCAACTATATACACATTGCAAAACTATTCTGCATCACATGATTTTAAATGAAATAAATATAAAAATGAACCACACAATCAACACATAACTTTAATACTCCACATTTATCTTGATCACAATGGTGGTAACCTCCTTGTCAACAATCTTGTGAGTTGAGGAGTTGATTCTCATTTTCATATCCATCAGGAAGATAAGCTCTCCTCAGCTGGTCTGACTTAGGTATGGAGCCTCCATTCTTCACATGGCGAGACAGGAAAGCACGGACTGCTGGATGATCAGCCTTCTCAAGTGGGATGTTGGCTTCCAGGCACATTTTCACAAAGTCCTGGATAACACTGACTTTCTCTGTTTGCGCAGTACTGTTGCACTGAAGGGATGCAGTTAGGGGCCTCTGCTTCTTTCTCACATTCTGCTCTTCAAATTCTGCCTTCCTCTTGGTATGAGTCTTCGACTTAAGGTGGTCACTAATGGCAGACTTGCGAACATGATTCAGAACCACATTGCAAGAAGTGCAGAAGAGTTTTCCTCCATCTTCGTGCAGCTCACCTCCAAACTCAGTGACTCGATCCAGGGGAGTCACATACAAAGCAGTCTTAGAACGGTTTCGGGCAGGTGGTGCTGTCACTACAAATCTTTCCATTCTGACTCTGAATAAGGTTCTTTCAAGACAAGAGGAACAAAAATAACTGTTACAACAACAGCTCATTCGGGAAGTAATTAACAATAAAAAGCAGGTATAAACATTTCAAGACTTAAAGACTTCAGAAAACTTAATTTAAATTAACAGACTGTGTGTCCATTAAGTCTTACCTGAAACGTGTAAGGAAAGGCAAAACCAGAGCAAGTTACTAGTAACAACTGGGTCCATTCCTTGAATTTGATGAAATTCAAATAAATTAGAACTATGAAAAAAGAACTCCAACTAACCCAGATGTCACTATCTTTTAGGAAAACCTAATCTGATGTCAATATTTAGGGTATTAATTATGTTACTCTCATTCAATTTAGATGTGTACTGAAGTTTAAAAGAGCTTCTTTTACCTTCACAGTTCTGGGACAACTGATTTTAGGAACACAATTGTAGGCAATTGTGTACAAAGTTTGTTCAAACAGGTGGGCCACTAAACTGGCCTAATTCTATATGAATATTTGTTCTGAGAAGAAAAAAAGCAAAAACTGAAAAAGAACAGACCAACTGCAATTAACAGCAGCAACAATGACATTAAATGTTAAAGCCAAGATACAGAGCTCAAAGTTGGTCATTTTTTAATGCATATATTCCTCCACTGAGTTTTCTAGAGCGTGATAATCAAGATATGCAAAGTGCTTTTTTAATGCATACATTCCTCCACTGAGTTTTCTAGAGCGTGATAATCAAGATATGCAAAGTGCTTTTTCTAACACTTTCCCCCTCTTTTTTCCATTAAAGACTAATACGTTTGTTAATTATTTATTTCACTTATTAACTAGTAAGTTAGAACAAATCTAAGAAGTTAACACAGTGCCTAGTAAATATAAGTGCTCAATCACAATTTGTTGATGGAATAAGTAAATGATTATCTTTACTATTTTTCCAAGTATTTAACTCAGAAGCAGCTTAATAATTTCTCAATTTACCCTAGTAACAAATTTTTATGATCTTTGCCAAAATCATGACATTACATTATGGACACTAAAAACTGGAGATACTGAACAAATGTTGTCAGTGACAACCATTTGTTCTCTGGAGCCATGCCTTTGGGCCAAGCTCTGACATTAGCTTATATATAAGAAATTAAAATGAATTTGATACAATTCAAGATGGAATTCTGTTCTCTATAAATACGTTAGAGAAAAATTCCTAAGTACATTCTCAACAACAATGCTTTAGAAGTGTAATCAGCAATAATGGAGTATTCTCTTAACCCATACTAGAGAATTCATAATTGGGTTATAGAAAATCTTTCTCAAAAGAACTCTAAATTGCCAATGTGTTAGACACCTGTGGACATAAACTGAGAAACAGACTTAACGTTTCACAGAAATTGTGCAAAGTATGATAAAGTTTAGATTTTAATACATTTGATTCTATTTTCTTTCCATTAACAAACTGTTCAATGCTTGACTCTCATGTGCCAAATACTGTATTAGGCTATAGGTTTTCAATGGCAGACAAGACAGACAGGATTCCTGCCCCAAAACAGTTAGCAATGAATTCCATTACACATGTTGGTACTTTAAGTCAATGGTACGTATTTTTTACTCCTATAGAAAATCAGTCAAAACTGTGATTTTGTTCTAAGCTAGTTATGAAAAACATTAAATATCTGTGCCCAGGAATACCTAAATCTTTCGCTGTGAAAGTCTTCTGTCTTTAAATATTTGGATTTCAAGCTTTAAAACAATAAACATGTTCATTATTCCCTGAAGCGTAAAATGCTCAATCGTTTGTGCTAATGTGAAAGGCCTAAACATTCCAATGTCTTGTAACTTTCCAAAAAAAAAAAAAAAAATCTGTTTGTGTTACTGTAGAGGCAAATATCCACCCAGTAGAGGATGCTCGACTTTACAGAGACCCGAATAACAAAAGTGTTTTCAACAGAAGGTAAAGATATTTTAAACGAGGAAGTTAAAAAGTTAAGAGCAGGAATTAGCCAACAAAAGCGAAGCAGCAAATTATCTACTAGATCTTACTGAAATAAAACTCAGAAGTTTTCAAGTTTAAGTGTTTACCCGATCACTTTCCAGTTTTTTTCGTCTTGATACTTAGTAGTGAAGGGTCTCCAGCGCAAAACCAAAGACGCTTGAAATCCTGGCACTTTCGTTTGTTCAAACCCGGAGATGCCTTCAAATCAGTTTTTCAACAAGTGGTGATGGGGAAATAGTTTCTGGGCTTGCACCCTATTTTCCCTGCGGTGCCGGGAAGTCATGCCTTTACTGTAAAACATGAAAAAAAAAAATGGAAAGAAAAAATGGGGGAGGGGGAGGGAACGAAGGGAAGATAAAAAGACTAACAAGAACGACACAGCCACCACGGAGGTGTCTTTAAAACCGCTCCCTTTAGGTTAACTCCACACTGCAAATCCGGATCCCAACGTTTACCTCCACACTCCTCAACCCAGTCCTTTCTCAGTTGTCCGCCCCGCTTTGCACCTCCTCGCGCGCCCCAGGCCCCAGGGTTCGGGAGGGGGAGGGAAAGGCGGGGCGCGGGACGTTCCCGGCGTCTAGACTCCCTCCTCCCGCGTCAAGCTCAGCACGCTGGCGCCCCACAACCCCTGCCCCGCTAGCTGGGCAGGGCCGAGACCCAGCTGCCGGCCGTGGGCCCGGGAACTCGACAGCAGAGTTGGCGGCAGTCTCAGGGGAGGAGGCGGCAGGCGCCTGGCGGAGGCGTCTGCTGTCAGGCTTCCCGTCTCCTCCCTCTTCCTCCCGCCGACAACGGCGCCCCGGCCCCGCCCCCGGCTCCCGCTTCAGGACGGAAGGCCCCGGGCCCAAAGCCCGCACCAACGGCCGGGCCCACCCTCGGCCTCCCTAGCTCCTCGGTACCGTAGGATCGGGCCGCCGTTAGGGGAAGTGGACGAGACCCAGTCGGAAGGGAAAGGAGGAGGAAGAAAAAAAGAAGCAAGGGGATGAGGGAGGAGGAAGACCCGTCGCCGCCGCCGCCGTCGTCGCCGTTGCCCGATCGAGCCCCGCGGCGGCCGCCGTGTCCCCCGCCGCGCCCCGTCCTCTTGCGCCGCCTACGGCAAAGCTCGTAGGCGGTCCCCAGCAACCGCCGAGCAGCATTGACCAACAGACCGCGAGTCTATCAAACAGACGGCTGATTTGGCCAATTGGAGTGGAAGGGTGGGCATGTGTATGATTGGCGGCTAGACTTCTCCAATGAAAACTGGGGGCGTGGGTGGGCGGAGCCGGAAGTAGAGCCAGCCGAGAGGCCCCTGTCCGGCTGGGGCGGAGGGAAGGGGGAGGGAACTAGAGGAGGAGGAGGTTAGCCGAGGCAGCTACAGCGGCGGCGGCGTAGGGGCTGGTACGCGCTGGGCGGCGAGAGCCTCATGGCGGAGGAAGAGAGCGATCAAGAGGCCGAACGCCTCGGAGAAGAGCTCGTGGCCATTGTGGAGTCCCCGCCAGGCCCTGTTGGGTTTAGAGCTGCGGGCGACGGCAGAGGTGGCGCTGGCGGCGGCAGCTGCGGTGTCGGCGGCTTTGGGATCAGCAGTCGGGATTACTGCCGACGCTTCTGTCAGGTGAGGCGTCCGTCGGCCTCCCGGACTTGTCACCCGGGTCTTGGGCCTCCCTGCGTCTCCTGGCCTTCTCGTTCTCGAATCAGGGCTGTGTCCGGTGTTCGCTCCCCCAGCCCAACAAGGAGAGAGAGTGAAGCTCCCTTCTCCACCTATCCCGCTTGGGGTGGGGGGCAGGGAGCGGGACTGGGATGACCCGCGGGTTTAGGGTTGCTGAGAAAGTGAGAGTTTGTCAGGGGTGGAGGGGCTGCAGGGAAGGAGGGTCAGCTGGCAGGAAGGCTGTGTATGACATGCCTCCTCTCCTCCAAACAGACCCCTTTCTGCCCGAGGGTCCCGCCTTCTTGGGTTTCCTACCCTGTTTCTTCTCACCTCATTTGGAATCTCTGGCAACATTTCCTGCCTTCCCTTCTCCGCCCCTTGCTCCCCGGTATTCTCCCCCTTTTCGGAGATGGGTGGCATGCCCTCTCTCTACCGCCCCCTCTCCTGTCATCGCCACCCCTCCCCCTCTGCTAGGGTCTCCTGTCATCCCCTCATGAGATCCCAGTGGGCCAGTTCTCCAGTTACTTTTTTGGGAGGTGGGGTTAAGGCAGTGTGATTGTCATCTTTCCTTTTCATACCCTGGTTCCTCGACACACGTACTGTCTTTTCTAATGGACTGCTGATGGAGAAAGTAGTTTTCCTTAAACTATTGCTCTGTTACCTCACCACCCCCTTCCATGTTTTAAATTACAGTGTTTTATGTAGACTGTGAAATACAGTGTCCGAACGGTGACGGTAAATTATTTACTTGGTCGTCTGCCACTACGATTTGATGTAGTTTAAAGTGTTTGACCATAATCAATTAGGGCAACAAAGTACTTGTCTAGGGGTAAAATTTGTGTATTTACATTCACATCTACATGTATTTATAGTTTAAACATTTCGTTCTCATTCACAACACTCTTGTTTTGAGAACTGTTTTGGATTTTTTTTTTTTTTAACACTCCGTTTCTTTATTTGTTTGTTATCTTGGATGTATAGGGTTCAAATCATGGCTCCACCACTTGCTAGCTGTGTTACCTTGTAACCTAAGTAACCTACAAGTTACTTAATCTCTTTGTGCCTTTGTTTCCTCTTCTGCCAAATAGGGAGAGTAATTAAATGAGAGAATATGTAAAGGATTTGAATCTTTTACATATTAATTGAACTTAGCTATTAATTTCATTGTGGTAACAAGTAGGAATAAAGTTAACAAGAAGTGAGCATTGTGTTTCCTCAAATTTGATTTTATGCCTTTGCAAGCATTGAAAGAAAAAGGATGGAGTTGACATTTTCAGGTAAGTTTTTAACACTTTAGGTTAAATAAATTGTTTTTTAGCTCCCTCCTCCCACTTCCATAGATAAGTTGGTTTGAAGGTGGAAATTGTCCTGGTATAAAGTGTGTCAGTTTTCTTTGGCATTGCTCTCTGTTAAGTGACTTTCATGAAAAAAAAAAAATTTTTTTTTTTTGGTATTGGCATTCACTGGATTTAGTGATTCAGTGTCTTTATAGTACTTATCTTCTAACTATGTTTTATATGTAGAAACCATGTTATAGGTAGACTTTGTATCTACGGTAATTTTAAATTTCTGAAAATAAGGTTACAGTTGATTTCTTTAATATAGTCAATGGCAGAAAATGTTTTCATTTTTTCTATGTTTTGCTTTTTATATCATTAATGAGCAACTTGGTTTTGGTTACATTTAGCTTTGTTAATTTATTTGATCAGTAATCAAGTAATCAGTATAATTTCAGTTAACTGCTGTAGAATTTGAAATTTTGAGGGCCAGAACATTTTTGTAGAACTTTTAACTACTCTTCTATATCTTGAAATCAGTTTTAAGAACAAATGAGTAAATTTAGCTTGTGAAATACAGCATCTGAACACTGACAGTAAATTATTTTAAGAACAAATGAAGTTGATGATTCTGTAAAACTCCACTACCTCCTAAATATCCAAGAAAACAAACTAAACAGGAAATACTTAACGAACTTTTATTTTATATTGCTAAGTTATGAGTTAAGTTATACTGACATACTTTCATGTTACCAACTTTTACCTGAAACCTCATTACATATTTTATAGTACTCTAGATTACCAGTAGATCTGTTCTTAGGGTTCCTGTCCTAGTTCTACCTTGCAGGTGAGCTTTGTGAAGTTCTTTTTTGTATTAAAACTTTAAGATGGAATAAAGGATTATCTTTATTAAGTTGAATTTTATCCATTGTTTAATATAATTCTAGTATAGTAGTTCTGTTTTATTTGCCAGTAAGGGAAGCATTGGCTCATAAACTAATTCCCAAAGATTGTTTCTTTTTAAGCATTTGGTTTCCTGATATTTACTAAGAATAATATTAAGTAATGTATATTCATTAGTAAATTACTTAATCATGGGTTATCTATAAAATGGATAATATACACTTGGGTGTGTGACAGTTAACCAAATATATGAATTATACACAGAGCCTTGTGGTGTTGAAAGACTCCTATTTATCTTCGTTTTAGAAAGAAATATGAATCAAAATTTCTTGGCAGTTAGTTGTGTGGGTGAAGGGAAAGAGGAAGGAACACTTGAAGAGAGCTTCTTGTGTCTTTTACCACAAGGAAAAGTAAAACAGAAGACAGTAGGTAATGTACGTAATAAATTATGCCTACACTCAATACTTTGATGATATACTTTTCTATTTGAGAAGCAATACCAGTAATTATAAAAATCTTAAACTAAGGGAATAGCCCCTGAGGTTTCAGCTAATTTTTGAGATGATGAATTTGAGAGATTGAAAGTGTTGGTTACATGGTCTAATGTTGGACTAACTGCTTCTGTTACATCCTCCCTTGGCTCTTATTAGTAGACTCTGAACAAATGCTTAAATAGAATTGGCCCTTAACTGACATTTCATTTGCTTCAAGGAGGAAAGGAGGGGGAAAAATAATTTTTATTGAGGGCCTACTTACTAACTATTAAGGCCTTCAAATTGGTCTTATTATGCAAGTTACATAATTGAAGTTGAGGCCTGAAAAAGTTAACTTGTCTTCAGTTTCAGTAGGTGGGCAAGCTGGGATTTGAACCCAGCCTTCAATTTCTACTGAAAGGCAGATTGAAATTACAAATAAATCCTCAAATAATTAGGGGAGCCTTGGTGGCTCAGTCGCTTAAGTGTCTGCTTTTGGCTCAGGTCATGACCGAGCCCCACATCAGGCTCCCTGCTCGGCTTCTCCCTCTGCCACTGCTGCTCCCCCTGCTTGTGCTCTCTCTCTGTCAAATAAGTAAATAAAATCTTAAAAAAAAAAATCCTCAAATAATTATAAAATGAACTTTTTCTGGCAAGTTGTGTAAAAGGGAAAAGTAGTTACTGGAAGTACTCAGGGAATCATGGATGAAAAATTTTAAAAGTACTCTTTCATTATGCCACAGTATAAAAAATATTTCAAGGAATAGATAATTATTATTTCTCTGACTTCTTTGGTACTGTGAACTATTTGTCCAATACTTCAAGGTTGTAATAATTCAACTTACCTTGCTGCTAGGTATATTGAAATGTTTTCATAATAAATTGTATGCTAGCAAGTTAAGGTACTTTGTCTTAGTTTAGTGTCAGAAAGAATATAGTGAGTGATAAGTATTTCTGGAAATATTTTGATATGTTGATTAAAATAGATTTTAAATTGTTTTTTACTACAATATAGTTAATAGCCATCCCATAAGGATGTCATGAGTAGAAAAGGAGAGAATGAACCTGAAGTGCTTAGTACTATACCTAGCACATAGGTAAGATTAAATAGATAGAAGCTATTAATATTTCTGTTGTGTGAAATCCTCTGAAGGTTTAAGACGCACACTAGAGATAATCTAATCTGTAGGTCACTTATAGTTTTTATCCCATAATAAAATTTACAGAAAATTTAGGTATGTTACATTTCTAAAATTCTGTTATTTAGGGATGCCTGGGTGGCTCAGTTGGTTAAGCGTCTGCCTTTGGCTCAGGTCATGATCCCAGGGTCCTGGGATCGAGTCCTGCATTGGGCTCCCTGCTCCACAGGGAGCCTGCTTCTCCCTCTTCCTCTGCATCTCTCTCTCTGTCTCTCATGAATGGATAAATAAAATCTTTAAAAAAAAAATTTAAAAAAATAATAAAATTAATAAAATAAAAAAATAAAAAATAAATAAAATTCTGTTATTTAATAGAAGACCCTGATGAAGTACTAAATGATGTGCAAAAACAACTACATTTCTCAGAGATTTTGTTTCTTTCAGGGGACCTTCAGTAAGTCTG